GCATCATTGTCATAAGAGACATGCACTGTAGCACATGTGTCATACCACCACCCCTGCACTTTGCCTTTGGTTGCCATTATTTCGCTCACTGTAGAGATTATGTCTTCATTTGCATGAACTGAATTAGTCTCGTTTTTTGACTTGTTGTGCCTGCAATCTCGAGTATAGTGTCCAAGTTTTCCACATATAAAACAACCTCTTTTTGGACCTTTCAGACCACTAGAATTTTGGAATTTGTTATGTTCCTTTTTAGGTCCAAGATGACTCTTGATGTCATCATGTTTCTTCTTCCGTTTGAAAGTCACATCATTGGATTTGGAAAAACCAATAGATTTTGATTTCTCCCTTTCCTTTGATTCCTCCTCGATTTGAAGATTCTGAATTTACTCTAGAGAGAAGTCCCCAGAATTATGCAACAATTTCTTTCTATAGCATTTCTACGAAGGTGGTAATTTTGCAATGGTTGCACTAACTTGAAAGGTCTCAGGAATGTCTATTTTCACAACTTTTATTTTATTCACGAGAACCTGTAACTCGTGCACTTGGGGAAGAATGGGCATGAAATCTATAAATTTGAAATGAAAGTATTTAGAAATTAAAAATTTCTCTGTACCTTCCTTTTCTGCCTTGAATTTAAACTCGAGTGTTCTCCAGATTTCTGTTGCAGATTGAGTATCCGTATAGAGGTCGTAGAGACGTTCAGATAATGTATTCAGAATATGTCCACGGCATAACAATTCGTTCTCTTTACGTTTCTTACGCTTCTTCTTGAGTTCATCAGAGTTATCCTTGGTTTATTCAAGAATTGGTGGTAAGTCAGGATCTAGGACATAGTGAATCTTTAGAGTGGTTAGTAGGAATGCCATCTTATCTTGCCATCGGGTGTTATTGGTTTCATCAAAGCGATCCAACTTGGCAAGGTCCTTGTTCATAATCTTGATGCTTGAAACTACAACGTCGGAAGCCGTTATTTGAATACTTTTAAGACTGTTAGAAATATCGGTAAAGTTAAATAGATCTAGGACTTAATTGTGAATGATGTCACTTTCCTTAAAAGTATTTCAAGCACTCTCTTGTATGTCATAGAGTTGGAACACATGAATACCCAGGATAATTCAGCCTTATATCGAATTTGCGCAAGATCGACGAAAACTCGATTTGTAGCGAAGAGTGTTTGGAATTTGTTCAAGAGGATATTCGATTTTGTGATGTATTTTATGAATTTCAGAATGGTGTATTTATAGGACATGTATGTGTTCTTTCACAAGGTTGCGACCTTTGATGAAACAACACCTTTTAACCAAAAGTTGTATTGTTTCCAAGCATTGCCTATGTTTATTTCGCAGCAACACAATTCGTTCTCTTTACGTTTCTTACGCTTCTTCTTGAGTTCATCAGAGTTATCCTTTGTTTATTCAAGAATTGGTGGTAAGTCAGGATCTAGGACATAGTGAATCTTTAGAGTGGTTAGTAGGAATGCCATCTTATCTTGCCATCGGGTGTTATTGGTTTCATCAAAGCGATCCAACTTGGCAAGGTCCTTATTCATAATCTTGATGCTTGAAACTACAACGTCGGAAACCGTTATTTGAATACTTTTAAGACTGTTAGAAATATCGGTAAAGTTAAATAGATCTAGGACTTAATTGTGAATGGTGTATTTATAGGACATGTATGTGTTCTTTCACAAGGTTGCGACCTTTGATGAAACAACACCTTTTAACCAAAAGTTGTATTGTTTCCAAGCATTGCCTATGTTTATTTCGCAACAACACTTCATGAAGCATTGTTTCTCTTTGAATTCAAAATTCAAATGCATGCATAGACCAAAACGAGAGCAATAATGATTTCGGTCAAAGGCATGTTGCCGCCTCATAATGCCACAAGTATGTATTATTTTTCTTAAACTTTAAATTCCTACGAGAATGTATTACATAAGTGATTACCCCCTCTTGAAATTATTGTTTTGAAGCAAAATATGTCTCAACTTTCCACTTGTAATCTTCAATTATTTTAGGAAGCTTAAAGGTTTGAAAGCCATGTTTGAAAGTATTGTCTTCATCTTCACTATCACCACATTCACTAGCTAGTTAATAACTGTTGTAGCCCTCACTATCACTCAAATGTCTATAGTTTAGCCTTATATTACTATCCTCATTCACATCAACAACTATATTACTATCCTCATTCACATCAACAACCATATTGTCTTGTCATTTAACACTATATTTAACGAGACTTGGGTTTTTAGATGATCTTTCAAACTTGCCTTACCCTTTACCTTACCCTTTGCCTTTCCTTTTCCTTTTCCTTTTTAAATTCTTTTATTTCTGTTGGACTTTCAACTAGGGAGCATTGAACATAGTGAGACTTTTTTCTAGAGCAACCTTTGTGAGAGACACACCACATACTCACCCAAAACCTTAAGGTGATAGGTGTATGGGTTTCTCTCACTCACATTTCTATCCAATGTGGGACTATTATCCATCCTACTCACACTTGTTAATACTTAACACTCTCCCTCAAGTGTGAGTCTATCCCAATACTTAACACTCTCCCTCAAGTGTGAAGCGGAAAAACGGCACCCTTGTACCGCCGTTGACATTCTTCAACGAGACACTCAACCCACGACCTATGAGGATGCTTTCGATACAAGTAAGTCGTTCCCTTTATTCGAACCAAAGGCTCATGATACCACTATTGGACTTTCAACTAGGGAGCATTGAACATAGTGGAACTTTTTTCTAGAGCAACCTTTGTGAGAGACACACCACATACTCACCCAAAACCTTAAGGTGATAGGTGTATGGGTTCTCTCACTTATAAATGCTCAAGTCACCACATTTCTATCCAATGTGGGACTATTATCCACCCTACTCACACTTGTTAATACTTAACAATTTCCTCCTCTATAACTATTTCATCGTCTATCATTGCTTCCTTAGCTTGTTGTTCTTCATCAACAAAGTTGTCATCAAGAACAAAAATAATATTTAGAGTCTTTAAAATGAACATCCAAAGCACTGCCTTCCTTTGCCTCGTTTATTTCAACATTACATTCTTGTCCCTCATCTGTATTATCATTATAATCTAATCCCACAATTATATCAGGATTAAAATCTCGTCTCTCTTCTAATACATTTGTCATCTCTCCCTCACAATTGTCTTATTCCAAAACAATAGTCCCTTCCTCACAATTGTCTTTTTCAAAAACAATGTTCTCTCCCTCACATTTTTCTTTTTCCATGTCTTAATCCAAACCAATGGTCTCTCCCTCACATCTATCTTTTTCCAAAACAATGATCCATCCCTCACATTTGTCTTTTTTCATGTATTTTTTCAAATTGTGTTTCTCACACTTGACTTCATTGAACAGAGTTTAAACTTTCTCAAAATTAATATTAGTCAGCCTTTGAACATAATCTCTTTCAATCTAACTCCATTACATTGAGCCCTACAACATCGTTTAAATCCTTTCCACTATCTAAAATTACGATAAAGATATCATATAAATTCACAATCCTAATCAACAATGATTGGGGATAAATCTTCAGGGAAATAGTTAAGAAGTGATGCTAGAAGTGTTTGTCAGAATCTTTTATGGTGAAACTTCGTTTTAAAATGACTGGTTCATGAATATGTCATAACTGATTAAATTGTGTTGTTAAAAAACAAGAGAAATGACTTAGTAATCAGTAAATTTAAGGTTTCAACTTTTTCTAGAATAAATAAATAAATAAAGTTATGTTATATTAAAATAAAACTAATTTAAATGTCAATTAAGTATAACTTAACGTTATTTTTTTTCTTTTTAAAATTTAATAGAAATGATCAAATTGGCTAAACATATATGTCTCTGAGAGACTTAAAAGTAAAATTTATTAACTAAAGTACACCATCATGAAACTATAAATTAAGTTAAAACTATACATTAAGTAAAAGATGAAAAATTTAATTAAACCTTGACTTTTCACGTGTACATATTTCAAAGACTCAGTGTTGTGTACTTCTTTTATTCTTACGATAAAAATAATCTTATAAGTTAGTCTAGATCAGGTTAACGTAATACGATATGGGTTCATCAAAAATATATATAAAGTCAATTTTAAAAAAATTATTTAAATAAAAAATATGAATAAATAAAAGAAAATCTTATAATAATCTTTTATCTTTATTATAGTATTTTTAAAAAATTATTTAAATAAAAAATATAAATAAAATTATTAGCATGAATGAAAAACAATGAAAACATTTAAAGTCAATTTTTTAAAATAAAAAACATAATGTAATTCTATATGTCATCACCATTGTATTTTCACTAAAACATAGTAAGAAGATGTAAAATAAAAAATATGATGCAAGAGAACTAGAGAAGTAAAAAAGTTAAAAAGTGAAAAGATGTATTGGAAATTTTGTTATGAATAATATTTATTGAGTGCATATATTAAATTATACAATGGTGACTTTAGGGTTTAGTACCACATATGCATTCATAATATAAGAACGGATTTAGTAACTTAAGGGTCAATCCGAACTCATCCCAACCCAATATTGAATTTATTTTTGTACAATTTTTTTTGTATGAGATGGAAAAAAGTCTAACTCAAAACTATTGAATTAAAATCTAATAGTTATTGGATTCTGCACATTCTTATTAGACGTTATTAGCGAAATTTAAATCTAATAGTTAATTATTATCACCAGGTGAGGTCTAATGATAAATTATGATTAAATACATAAATATTCTATGATAAGAAACATTATTTTATAAAAATACTCTAATACTTAATTATTATCACATAGTCTAAGGATAAATTATGGTTAAATACATAAATATTCTAGGATAAAAAACATTATTTTATAAAAATGAAAATAATTTTTGTTGCATTGAAAAAGTATTGCTTCCCATTCTCAAGAGTCAAGAACCAACCACCGACTGAACAGAGTGGTGTTGCTTCTTAGAGAAAAGAAGGAAGAAACAGAAAGTAAAAACAAATCAAATGAATCCTCTAATTTGGCATAAAGTGGCTGCAGTTTCAGGTAAATCCCTCAACTAAACTATATCAATGTCTTCTTCTTCTGTAAAAGTAATTCAATGAAACAGGTGTAGCAGCACTTGGATTGGGCACTTATGGTGCGCACGCTTTCAAGCCCCAAAACCCTTCTTACAAAGATGTACGTTCCTGCGTTTTCATTTTCCCCCAATTCCTTCTGTTTCATGATTAACGCTTCAGTTTTTATTTATTTGTTTAATTGTATCTGTGAAGGTTTGGCATACTGCATCACTTTACCATTTGGTTCATACTGCCGCATTAGTTTCAGCTCCAATTACCAAAAATCCCAATCTTGTAAGTTCCCATTTGTTTGATTTCACTTTGGAGGGAGGGCACAATTGATTATATAGGTGTATAATTGATTTTGATATATTTGGATGTTTTCAAGAAGAATTGATTTTAATATTAAGCTAAAATTTTGAGTTTTTGTCTCTCCAATTTATCATTCAATTCAATTTTACACAAACCCCTATCATAAATCACTTTACATTTCACCTATTTGTAGTTAGGTTCTATGGCACGCTAGCAAAAAGCTCCGTAATAAAGAAGCTTAGTGTATATTTGGTTTAACGTTTGAAGCACATAGAATTGATTCTACATGTGTAAAATTGATTTTAATATGTTTAGTTCTCTCGAGTAGAATTGATTATGCTTTTCATAATTGATTCTACGTGAAACTAAGATATGCAGCTATTGAGTTTAAACTGATTTTTCCACTATATTTGTCATTCAACTCACATTTGCAGTAATTTATCTAAACATAAAAATCACTCTACCTTCAACTCATTTTTAGCCTGAATCAATTTAAAAAATCAATTTTCTTCACCACAGAGCCAAACACACACTTAGCTCTATAGCTTCTATATTTTCTTAGTGAAAATGTCTCGGGATGCGAAAAGTGGTTTGCAAGCGAAGTTCTAAACACATCCTTAATTTTAATTAGAATCAATTTTGCAAAATCAAATTTTCATAATTTATCTCTTGTGGAACCATACAAATGCTTAGTATATGGTGATTGTGAAATGATGATCATCAATTTGTTTTTTGTTTCATCATTTTCTTTACGCAGTTTGGAGGGCTTCTAACAGCTGGAATCTTGGCTTTCTCTGGGACGTAAGTTTTCTTAAAATTTACTTCCAGCTAATTGTGATGCTTATTTGAAATCCAAGCAGTTGTTTTTTAGTTGCTTTATTCATCTATTTACAATTTTTTGGGGCTAAGGGGGTGTGGGAAATCGAAGGTGGGCACAGGGATTTGAGAGACATATAAAGTTCAACTCAATAATTAAGATATTGCTCATGTGAATGAGGGTGACTTCATGTATCTATGCTTAGGATTTATTTGTGTCAATGATGGAATTAGATGTAATTTCTCTTAACCCCTTACTGAATTAAGGGTTTCCAGGTCCATTTCGTTCATTTTTAGAATAAAACCAGTAACTTCAGAGTTAGGATATCAATCAAGGGACAGTTAACCATTTTGTTTGGAGGACTGCTGGATAGTAGTTATTTATAGAGCGAAGCTCATGTGATATGGTTAACAATGATGTGAGAGTGAGACATGTTCATTTTCTCAAATTATTACCACATATCACGTGTTAGTATTGTGTCCGTGTCTGCACCGGTGCTTCATAACTTATTACTCACTGAAGTTGGGGTCTCCACATAGGTAGAAAGATACTGTGAACATGGTTTAAGACTCATCCATTTTTAACGAGGAAACACCTCACAACTTGGGATTTGACCACCAATCCTCAAGAATCCTCAAGATCTCTGTGCACTCCCCCTTAGTGGTTCTTAGGCTGGCTGTTCTTTTTTAATGCCTCGGTGGATATGTTGACCATAGGCTACAGAGAGCTTCTCTTGGTGCAGTAGTGGCTTACGTGGTCTTTCCTTTTGATGTTGGCTTGTGTTTTGTATCGCTCTCTGCTATTATGAGCACTGTAGCTGTAATGTTCTTCCTTCTACAATTTGTCCAATAAATAAAGCAAGCCTATAACAATACTTTTGACCCGTGGCATCTGACTGTTGCGAATAAATATTTGTGAAAAATAGAATGTGATTAATTTGCGTTCGTCTTTGATGATATTGTGTAAAAATGTTGAACTTTTAGGTGTTATACGGTTGCATTTCTTGAAGACAGAAAATACTCAACCTTGGCTCCATTTGGCGGCTTTGCATTTATAGCAGCCTGGGGAAGCTTGTTTTTCTGATGACTTCATCATTTCGGATTGTGCTGCCACAACATCTATCCAATGTTTGTCAATAAGAAACTATACTATCGATGTATTTGACAGTTGATTAACCTGCATACCTCATATTTGTAAGTATTTTTGTGTTTATCTTGCCAATGGTTCATGACCTTGAAGTCTGTATCTATTTATATATTTCACATTTGGTAACAAAACTTGTACGCAGTTATCTTTCATTGGATGATGTTCTTGAAAGATTTGAAGTTTTCTGTTAATGATGAGTCATGTGCGTGCATTATTACTGTACCATCCCCTTTCTCCTAACAAAATATGAAAGATGACTTTGTGGTGCATATTGTAGTAGAAAAAATCAAGAATTCTTTTGATTACAGATTGTTTGCATCGCTTGCCTAAAATTTTATTTAACCCTTTATTTAATAAGTTATCAGTTTGGTTTTTGTTTCATGATCTGTTTCCTTCTGATTGGATTGTTTAGTTTTGATAGAAATTGATTTTATGTGCGCAAAAAAAGTTCTTTTAAATACAGTGGGATTTTGTGCCTAGAGACAATTTGGAAAATTTAATTTGGGTTTATTTGATGTTATACCATTTTAAGCACTTTATAATAGCTTATGATAAATCTTCAAACTGTTTTCAGCAATTTTTTTAATACACTCAAATAATTTATATAAAATCAATTTTTAGAACAAATTCTTTTACACAATGGAAGTTTAAATCTCTTTTTGCAAAACACAGAGTGCAATGGAAATAAATGATTAAAAAAGTAAAAAGTTAAGGGATAAGAAAAAACATAAGAATTATAGGAGGTTGGGTCTTAATAACGTGACCTATTATTTTTTTCAAAAGTTTTCAATATTTTAAGAAGCTATTTAGAGCGTATGCCCACAAATTTCTTTTTACAAAAATGGAAGTTTTTCAATTGTTAACTTTCCAAGTAAGAGAGTTTTAAGAGTTTTAAGTAAAGGAATTTCTATAACCAATTAACTGAGAGTTTTAAGTAAAGGAATCTCTATAACCAATCAACGGAGAGTTTTTGTTTTTTTTAAATAATAGATTAAGTTCATGAACTGACTGAGAGCTTCTGAGAATTTTATTTACGGAGATCTCCCTAACCAAATAAAGGTTTTACTTGATTTACTTCGAAAATTACTTGGTTTATCTCACAAACAAAATATTTTTCTTTTAATGAAAAATCACAATTACACCCCTTACACTAGACCTGACTATCTCATATATAAATATTTCACTCTCAATAGCACTAAGACAAATGTGAGAAATAAAAGAGAGAGATGAAAGTGAGAGAAATGTATCTCAAATACGTTTTCTGATGAGTTGGAAATGAAATTTTTTTTATTCATTTATAGGACAAAGCTGATTCAAATATGAACATAATCCATGAACTTTTCAATGCTTATAATTGATTATCACAAATGCATAATCGATTATGGATCCTCAAAATGGATGATTTTTACTTTTAGTTGTTTCTGATCATTAATCATTAAGAGGTTGTTTCAATTGATTTCAGGCATTACAAAGTGAAATAACCGACTATCATTTATGTATAATTGATTATCCTTTTGTAAAAAATACTTCAAATTAAACAAAAACTTCCTTGATCAATTAGCTAGGCTTTTAAAATATATTTAGATAATTTTCATAAAAGAAGAGGGGCTTTTCAAAGGATTGAAAGTGTGCGCGTGTGTGTGATTTTTTTTAATAAAGTCGAGAGTTAGTCTTATTCCTTTAGAGACATTGTCACTTGACAAAGACACAACAAACTTTTATACTTTCACTTTTTCATAACTCTGAAGCTTATGGCTCTTTGCCAAATTATATTTGACATTAACACTTAGCTGAAACCTTGAATCTTCTTCTGATGATGCTTGAGACAACTCTTCATGACAACCTCCATCATTAGACAAACCACTTGAATAGAGATGTTTGCTGACTCATTGAACACTGCTTGACATAAGCTCATGTCCCCCACAGATAGGAAAAGATAACTTGATCTTCAAGCATAACAATCTTGATCACCACAACTTTATCAACATTACTTGATCAACACAACTTTATTCAATACAACTTTGATAAACACAACTTGATATTCAATCATCCACTTGATCATTGCATTAGATGATCTTCAGGCTCCATCTTGATCGACACATTTTAATCTTCAAGCACTTTCATTTGGTTAACATGTTAAGCAATATCCCTTGCTTCACATATCAAGCGATCAACACATCAAACACTATCATTTGATTAACATATCAGATGATATCATTGGAACCAATACACCTTGAAAAGTAATACTGGTGGAGATGGGTATACGACAATAATTGACTCCAGAAGATAGAGGAAAATAACTTTTTTGCCTCCTGCATGTCACACTTTATCTAAAAAGGAAGAGAAATGTTTTTGTGAGTGTTTGCATGGTATCAAAGTTCTCCAAGGTTACTCATCAAACATCAAGAAATTTGTATCAAAGAAAGATCTCAAGTTAATTAGCTTAAAATCTTATGATGACCATGTCTTGATGTAACAACTTCTACTATTCGTGGAATCCTTCCAAAAAATGTAAGAGTGACTATAACTAGGTTGTGCTCATTCTTCAATGCTATATGTAATAAATTTCTACATTTCAAAAAATTATATGAATTAGAAGATGGGACTGCAATAATCTTGTATCAATTAGAAATGTATTTTCGTCCATCATTTTTTTGACATTATGGTTCACTTACTTGTTCATAGTCAGAGAAGTCAAATTTTGTCATCTAGTTTATTTAAGGTGGTTGCATCCAATAAAGTGATACATGATGATTTTCGAAGGATATATGAATAATCATCACCGACAGGGAGATTTAGTCGTTGAAAGATACATCACAACAAAAACTGTTGAGTTTTATTCAAACTATTTGTCAGAAGCAGAGTTTATAGGAATTTTAAAGTCTCGTCATGTTGACAGGTATAGATGTAGAGATACTCAATATTAAATATTAAGTCAATGGCTCAGGATGTAATTCTTCAAGCACATTTCTATATATTGAATAATCTTGATGAATTTAAAACTTACATAGCTACTCACATAGATTTATGAAGAAAAAATATCCCCGAATGAGTGACAAGTGGTTATTGACAGAACATAACAAAAAATTCATAAGTTGGTTTAATGAAAGGATTTCTAATGATGATAGTGCATCTGAGATAATTAAATGGTTATCGTACATGTCAATTTAATGTGATAACTTGGACTGCATACACCATTAATAATTTTTCCTTTTATTCAAAAGCAAAAGATGATCGTTGTACAATGAAAAATAGTAGGGTTATGATTGAGGCCGAATTCATGTATTTCTCTAGTTTGAAAGATAAGAACCCTATATTGACATCTAAAGTGTTCTATGTTGTCATTGAGGAGATTTTGGAGATTGATTATATTATTTTCAAAGTGTCTTTATTTAAATGCAAGTGAATTTCCAATAACAATGGTGTAAACACTGATGAGTTAAGATTCACACCGGTTGACCTTGGTAAGACAACTTATATGACTGAACCATTCATCAAAGCAAAACAAGTTTTTAATGTGACATATCCTTCAGACTTATCGAGATGGTCAATTGTTCTCTAAGAAAAATACATTTCTCATAGTGATTAAAATTTTGATATTCCTTCCACTCATTCTTACGCAACACAAGTTCCTACATCATATGAAGAAGTTGATAGAGATGACGTGCATACTATTCGTAACGATCATGAAGAAGACATGTGAGAAAATTAACAAGTAAGTATTTTTTATTCTTTATTCATAGTTTATTGTAAGTTATAATTTCTAAGGTTATATACTAACAAGTATTATCATTTGAAATTATAGGTGTTTAAAGTCAAGACACCAAGATACTATTATTTGATGTAATGATGTGTAAATTTTAGGTTGTTTTATATCGTTTTGATTTTGATGTAATATATAATTTTTGGTTCTTAATTCAATTTTGACTTTGATGCAATAAATTTCTGATCTCATACAAAAACAAATAATTTCACAACGTTTGTTTAACACAACCGTTGTTATAGGTATAACGTTATCCATAATAATAAATGTCAAAAATGATATTGCTTGTATATCCAACCCATGACCTATAAATATTTCACTACGGTTGTTTAATACAGGTACCACACTTTCTAGTTTAATACAACGGACAATAGACCATGTTTGTAAATAACACACTTACAATCACACGCTACCTAACAACAGTCATACAACTGTCATTATATGTCTTTCACAACTGTTGTCATATGTTTTTTTTGTAGTAGTGTGAAAAAGGATAATAAATTGGTAAGATGATTCGTTTTCATAGTGATAATGAAAGATAATTTGAGAACTCAATCTTCTCTAATTTTTGTATCTCTCAAGGAATAACTCAGAGTTTTTGCCTCCAACCGGACCTCAATAAAACAATGTTGTTTAGTGAAAAAATCATTCTTTATAAGAAATGACTGAAGTTATAATTCATGCAAAAAAATTTCCATACTTGTACTGAGGAAATGATTACTGCTTACCAAATTAACAAATGAATATCAATTCAACTAAATATTAAGGTCACTTATTATGAGATATGGATAGGAAGGAAGTCGGATGTTAAATATGTTCATATTTTTGACAGTTCGTGTTATTTCCTTGCAGATGGATAACACAAAAGAAAACTATGTCCTAAGAGTGATGAAGGCGTATTTTTAGGGTATTCCATGAGAAGATGGGCTCAAAGTCAAGTTCTAAAGCATGTGTTAGAGCTTTCTAATTAAGGAAAGGGTGAGAGCAATGCATCATTTGAATTCTCTTGTCTTGTCTTGGTGTTGCACATCTACTCTTGAATTTGTGGATCTTTAACCAGATTCTCTTCCTTTTCTGATTCATCATGCATGAGTTCATTAGAGTATGAAATAAGTTGACTTTTCCATACAAATTTGTTGATGATCCGGCTGATTTGGCATTGCCATTTCCTTCC